CGGGGAATAAGAAGAAGATAATAATAATCTTAGTAATATTAATACTCCTAGTCTTTCTAATATATTTAATCCTTCTAATATATTTAATACCTTTAATAACGAAGAGTTTGGTCCTTTCAATATTCTTAATCCTTCTAATATATTTAGTACTTTTAATAATTAGGAATTTAACAATTTTATTCCTAATTCCTTCGATAATAAAGAATTTTATTCTAATATTTATAATCTATTTAATTTATTTAATTATAGTTATAGTAGCTATAATAGCCGATAATTAAAAACGTTTATTTATAATAATAGTAGTAGCAGTTTAAATATTAAGAATTGCCGAAGGTATAACGGTATTAGTCGGTTAGAAAATATATATCCTAAGTATTTTTATAAGCCGACTTAGGTTAATTTTTAGAATTTTTAAAAAATTAATATACCTTCCCGCTTACAATATAACCCTATTACCAATAATTACTATTATAGTCCCAACCGAAATTTACTATCTATTCCTTTATATATTAATATTCTTCGAAGTATTAATATACTAAAAGATAATCTAATTGTAATTAATAAAATTAATAAGGAAGTCCGATGGTTATTATTCTTATTCTATTATAATTAGTTCGTTAGTTCTATTGTTAAATGGGTTTGCAATTTCTAAATCGACCTTTAAAAGAGTAGGTTTAAAAACCTTTATTAATATATTTTAAATATTTATCAGACTTTAAAATCCCACTACCTTATTATTACTATATAATCCTTTTTTAACAATATTATTTTAAATAACTTATATATTTTAAAATACAATTTCAATAATCCAAAGTATAAGGCTTTATTTAAGTAACTTATTTCGAATTAAATTAATAAGTATACTTTCAATTAAGTTTATTCGTATATTACTAAATATATTAATTACGAAGCTACCTTTAATAATAAGGAATTTCTTACTTAGTTTTACTTTAAAATTGAATTTTAGGATATAGGTATAGTATAATTTAAAATTATTAAAGCCGAACGGACTATAAATAAAAATTATTAATCCGGCAAAGCCTAAATTACTAATAAAAACTATCGTCGGATAATACGCAAAAAATACGAGAGTCTACTTTTTTTACTAAAGTATAAAGGCGTTGAACGGGATTAATTTATCGATATACTTCTAGAATTCGTACTTAAAGTTATCTAACTAGTAAAGGCGTTTAATTTAGACTACTTCGAAGATACCCTTATAAATACTAACGAATTGCCTCCTTTATGGAGGACTAACAATTACCCTATAGTTAATAAATAGCGCCTTATATTAACGGAAGAAAATATATTCGGTCTAAACTATTCTGATAATAGAAATAATAGTTATAGCTACTATAAAAATAGGACTAGCTGTAGCTACCAAAGTAACTATATTGATCCTCGGTATAACTAAAGTAGATATAGGGATAATACTACTATTATAGAGTAAGGTAATTATTATAATAAAGGTAATTAATATTGTAGTAGTCCTTAATAAAATAGTTTTTAATAAGGTGGTTTTTAATAAAACTATTATAAAAGTAATTATTAAGAATATAGCGGTTAGTATGGCGGTTATTAATAAAATTACTATACTATAAGTAGAAATAGTTAGTAATATTATAGCGGTTATTACAACGGTCCTTAATAAAACTACTATACTATAGGTAGAAGTAGTCAATAGTATTATAGCGTTTACTAAGGCGGTCCTTAATATAATTATAGTAGTCCCTAACAAAACTACTAAATAGATAAAGGTAATTATTAGTATTATAGCGGTCAATATAGTAGTTAGTATAATAATTAATATAATAGTCAATATAGTGGTCCTTAGCAAGGTAGTTCTTAGTAAGGCGGTCCTTAGTAAGGTAGTCCTTAATAAGGTAATCCTTAGTAAAGTAGTCCTCAGTAAGGTAGTCCTCAGTAAGGTAGTCCTTAAGGTAGTTACTAGGGTAATTATTAATTAAATTACTAAGGTATAAGTAGGGGGGGCTAAAGTTAAAACGATTATAAGGCCTACGAAAATACACTAACCTAATCCGAATTCAATCGCCAGCGCCGAACTAATAGCTATTATAATATCCCTAAAGAATCCGTAGCACCCCCCGACCCGTAAAATAAATATTATTATCCGCCGCCGCCTAATAACCCTCTTCCTCCCTATAATCCTTCTAGTAATTATAGTAATAAATATAGCGGCTAATTATTTTCGAAAGTTACTAATATTATTCTGCCTATTCCTAAGCGTACTCGTATACCCCTTACTGGAATAGAGTCCGAAAATATATTTATTACTTCTTTAATATTCGAATCGGAAATACTAAATATTAGTATAAAATTTTTATACTTTTAAATTACCAATTAAGTATTTTGCTTTTAATTTTTAACTTTTAACTTCTAATTTTTAATATTATTAGGTTTATTTATATATTTATTATCCAATTAATAATATTAATATTACATTCGGAATTCTAATATTCAATACGGTATTCAAATATATATTCAATATCATATACCTTAAAATATCTAGAATTAGGGCAATTAATAACTCTTTCAATATTATAGTATTTACAATTATAATAATTAATAATACTTTTAATATTAAAGTATTTAGGTATATATTCAATAGCGGACCCGATAGTTATATAGATAGGTAGACCTATATTATTCTTTATTGTACTATTTAATTCTTTATTTTATTAGTAATATTAGTAATAATAGTAATAATAGTAATAATAGTAACGATAATAATAATAGTAACGATAGTAATAGTAACGATAGTAGTGGTAGTAGTAGTAGTAGTAGTAGTAGTAGTAGTAATAGTGGTAGTAGCCCGTATATATTAACTTTACTGGGCGTTAATGTAGTTCGTATGCGATACGTTAATTTAGTGATGTTCGTTTAATTAGTAAGAACCCTCCTATTGTAATTACATTTGATATTTATAATTATAAAACTTCGTATATCCTAACCGATTGAAATAGGTAAGAACCTTAGACTATGACTGCCTTTTGAACCTTTTTAACAATTTGGCGTCGCATGGCGCCCTATAGTAAACTATTAAGTAACGGTAACTTATTAACCAATAGTAAAAATGCAACTTACTGTCAGCTGACTGTAATGTGATGGTAATAAACCTCGATACCGGTATTCCATAGTAAGGGTATTGTAAATGACCCCCTATATACCCCTAGCTAAGTGTAATTAAGGAAAAATAAGATAAAAGGCTACCGATTATAAGGAAGTAACGGCGGGAAAACGGAAGGAGGGCGGTAATTAATTGGGGTAGGGTTGGTTACGTATATAATAAAAGTTTATAGCTTCGGTTATAACGGTGAGGTTATACCGAGAGGAAGGAAAATAGGACGGTACGGAGCCGATACAGCGCTATAGCGATAGCGAAGCGGAGGGTTTTCATCCGGCTGTCACAGCACGGTTTTTCCCACCGACTACGAGCGAAGCAGCACCGCATACCCACAGGGCGAACCAGTAAATAGTTAGAGTGTATAAGACTAATAATAATAATAATATTAATAATAATAGACCGTCTAAATAAAGTATTATAAACTATCCTTTATTATACTAATGCTATAATGTGTAATACGGTTAAAATATACTACGAAGGGTTATATTGTATTTATAATTTACCTTAAGAAGTAGTTTTAAATTGAAGTCCGTAGTTTATAGCCGATTTTATAAATAAATTTACGAAAATCCTTAATATTAAATAGAAGCTCGCTTCTTCGGGGCATAGTCAAATAATTAGCCAAATAGAAATTATAAATAAATATTTGGATTAAAGACTCTACCTATTTATTAACCACTTCTAAGACAATTAGTCGGAAGTTATATTAATAATAAACGTAATTTAAATAGGGATATTATATAATAGCCTAAGTAGTATATAACTTTACGAAATCCTACGAAGATTCTTAATACCTAATATTTTAAATTAGGAAGTAAGGATAAATTTAGTATAGTTGCTAATTTACGAGAAGTTTAACTGCGGAGAGGCCTAAGAATTAATTAAAAGGATATAAAGTTATATTATTAAAGTTAGGGAATTTATTATTGTATTTTAAAAGCGTATAATAGAATAAGTAAACCGATATTAACGGTTGCCTAATTTTAATATAGGGGATAAAATTTTTATTATTAAATGGAACGAATTATTCGACAAATCTAATTACAAATTAAACTTCCTTTTTATAAGCCGGTAATTCAAAATTAAAGAGAAATATAAATATTCCTTCCGATTTAAAATCCCTAAAGAATAGTACGGAACCGACGTTTTTTATATAGATTATCTAAGGAAGTACCTAAATAATCTGTTGCCTAAATAATATATAGAAGAACTAATAAGCGAATATATTAAGGATAATATTGAATAGGAAATAGAAGGTATATTATTATCCAGGATATATTAAAGTTAATTATAATATTGTACTAATCAAAAAGGATATAATCTAAACCCGAAGTATTATAATACGAGTAATTTTAAGAATTTATTATACTACTTTAAATCCTTCTATAACGAATATCCTAAATAGTTAGGACCCTTGAAGCGGTTAAATTAATAGTTATAAACGGCCGAAGCGGACAAATTTAATTTAAATTACGAAGATAATAATATTCTAATAAGGAAGGGGATGAGGCTAATAAAATAATATATAAGCGTAAGGAAATGAATTTCGAGGAAGAATAGCGGTTAGAGAATAGTAATATAAATGGTATTAGGAAGCTAATTATTTAATATACTGCGGTAGATAGTTAGTATAATTAGGAAAAGTTCGGGGGCCCGGAATTAATTAATTAATTAAAAACCTAAGGATACCCCCCTTCTATTTAGAAAGTAACTGTATTTGAATTAAAGTAATAGCGATTTTTTTAAACGATTTTAATTGGTAGAAGGGGATAGGGACCTACTTTGCATATATAATAGCTTTTTTTATAATTCTGGTACAATTCGGGACGAATCTTTTTATACCGGGGGGGTAATATTACGGTACTAGCGGATAGGCCTTAGTATGGGGTGTAGCCGTGCAGTCTACGGCTAGGTATATGACCGACCCGTTACCGGGCCGGCATATAGGCTCTAGGCCCGCGCACAGGCTCTGGGTTAAAACCCCAGACCCCGCGTGCACCTTTGTACGTTTCCCTCTTTTCTTCTTCATCTTGTAATTTTATAATAGACTTGGTAACAACGTGTTAGCTTGCCTCTCGTGACCACGTCGCTCGTGACAGTCCGGTTCTACTAGCCCGGTAGCTTTATTAGGCTTATAATAGGGTATTTTATCCGGCTTCTCCGGTTTATTAATTTTACCAGACTTATAATAGAATATCCTATATATTATAACTTCAGCTTCGTTATTCTAAATTCCTTTTAATTAGCCTTCTATACCTTTTATAGCCCTACTAAATTCGTAATCGGACTTTCAATATTATCCGAATTTCCCGGCCCTAATAACGAAATTAATAAGAGTTTTATACATCTTTTCAATATAATTTATTATCTCTATTTAAAGTTTTAAGGGATTTATAGGGGAAATAGTTTATTAGAATTAGGTTTGAATAGTAGGTTGTAATAGGTTGCTTAGGGGGGTCGAAATTAGATTAAATAATAAAATATTTGAAATACTCTTAAATAATAATTATTTTCAGAAATTAAAAGTTAAAAAAAAGTTTTCATCCTTGTAATATAATTATCCGTCTTCGTTTAAAATTTTAAAGAAGTAAGGCTATCATTATTTATTATATTATTTCGCGGATTATCGGTATAGCAATATTAAGAAAGGAAAGAGTAGTAGTTGGCGCTCGGTACGATTTTTAAAACGGCTAGTAGGCTAATAAAGAGGTATTTAATATTATATTTACAAGAGAACGTGATTTTTCTATTAGTTTACAAGATAGATAGTTTATAGCGTTTTAATTAGGGTAGGTTTAAAATTACTAAGTAAATTAAAAAGAGGTTATATATTAGGAAGGTAATGTTTTTTATATAATACCTAATAAGGAGGTTTGCGGTTAGCCCTTCGGTAATAAAGTCCTTTATAATACTATTAACTAATATAAATTTCTTAGGCCGAGCGAATTTAAAAATAGCAAGGCTATTTCGTTTTACGAAAGTACAATTTAGAAAAGTAAGGGTTAAGTAGTTATTATCTACGAATATAGTATATAGTATTTTGTACGGTCTAAGTAGGAGATAAGAAGAAAGGAGTATTAAATTTTAGGTAAGACTATTTAGTAAGTTAATAACTATTATTTTTAGTATTTCGGTATTATTCCAGGGTTTCTCCTATATAAAACTTTATTACCTTTATAAGCGATTATCTATAGAATTTGATTATTTTTTTTAATTATTAGCGTTTAGTACGTTATATTCATCTTTATTATTTTTGCCTCCTTTAGCGCTTATAGTGTAGAGGTTGGTATTATTATAATTTCACTAGCCGGGGGAGGGTCGGTTGGCCTTAGAATAAGAATTACACCTTCCGCGGCCGCCGCAGCTTCTACAGCCTTAATAATTATAGTTATTATAAAAACCGGTAAATTACGGGGGTTTACCGCTTTAATTAATACCGTTCTTATAATTATATATAATATAGTTATCCTAACTATACTTTTTATAAAGGCTTTTTCTTATTCGTTAGTCAATAACATTAGAAGAAATAGCCCGGGATATATAAATTATTTCGAAATTTATAGTATTGCTACTTTAATTAATAGTGCAATCGTTAGAACCGTTTCTTCCTCCGGCAGAATTATTATTATTATTATTATTCCTACCAGACTTATTAATCTACAATTAATTAACTTTAATATAATATTCGTTATCTTCTGAATAATATACTAAATCCCTATAGAGGGATAGCTATCCTTCGAAATCGTCGTCTCCCGGGTATTAGCGCTAATTAGAAACTACTATACGGAATTTAGTAGAGATCTTATTCCGGAGGTAATAAATCTTTATAGTTTTATTAAATTAGTAGTAGTCGGTTATTTTAACGAATTCTATTTCAAAATCAGTGAAATATCTATTACTCTTTTTAAATTCGTTAAAACGTTATACGGTATTGTATCTTAGGTCGATATTATTGTAATAGGAATTCAATAAATTCCCTATTAATTTACTATTTTTATTTACTAAGTGTATTAAATTCGAATAAAATAGTTATTAAATCCTTCCTAAGGGTAACAGCTATTTCGGGGCTTAATAGATAATTAGTATAGAGTATCTTAATATACTCGTTAAGGAAGCAGAAACAATTTAATTCTTATACTATAAGGATCCTATTTTTTTAAATAATATACGCCTTATTATATAGAATAGGGTTCTTCTAATTAGTTATAAATAGGTTTAAATTAGAGAATAGCGCCTTCCTAAAAATAGTTATAGTTTTAAGAGGAGCCCCGATAATACTAACTATATAAGTAACCCCCGGGTTATTTCCTAACGAACCTCCGCCTTCCGCGCCTAATCTTCCGCTAGTACAATCATTTTTATTTCTACTTATATTTTAATTAGTTATAGTAATATATAATTTTGTTAAGGTATTATCGAAGTTCGTTTTAAACTTTTTACTTTTAGTTCTTTCCGTATAGAGTAAGCTTTCGAACTCCGTAAGTTAGTTCGCAAGATTATTATTAAAAAAGTCGAATATTTAGACTATTTAAATAATTAGGGAAATGATAGAATAGAAGGTACTATTGTCTAGTAGGATGATAGCTTCAATAAAAAATCCTTTAAAAATTTGGAGGGGTTTGGATTTATCTTTTATAATAGTTTTAATAAAGTATTTAATAGTATAATTACGTAGTATACTTTCTAGTGCAATTAAATAAACGTTTTTATTTATTAGTAGGTTAAAACTTTCGGCTTCGTTGTCCTAAGGAGCGTTTAGGACGTTGGTATCCTCGTTTAATACTTTTAGAAGAGTACCTTCGTCGGTAATAATAATATTACTATCAAAAATTATAGGTTTTGTTAAATTCGGTGGGTTACAGGGTTTTTAGCGATTAATAGCATTATAGGATAGTATTAAAATATATATTTCCTCTTTATAGTAAAGTACGTTTATAGTATAATAGTAAGGTATAATTAATTATTACGGGGTAAGGTAATACTAAATATATAGGGTAGAATATAATTTATATAATTATATAAGGAAGAAGGGAAACTATAGAATTTATATGTAGCAGTTTATCCTATATAGGCGAGGATAAGCCGCATCCTTGGTATACGTGACCGGAGCCTCCGGTGGCGTATGGCCAATTAGGGGGGCCTGCGTGGGCCTAGTAGCCGCTGTAGCGGTAGTAAGGCTGAACGGGTTAGTTAATTAGAGAGCGTGTATTAACCGGCAATTATAGTTGTGGTGATGCCGCGACTAGATGATAGTCACAGGCTAGCCCTATGACAAATATATAAGAAGGTTAACACCTCTTATTTTATCCTTTTGGGGCCTTTATTAGTCTATAAATAATAAACTGTATTAAACTTCCAATTAATATTTAGAAGGAGGCAGAAGTAGGTTTAAAACTCACTTATCCAATTAGTTCCTCTATTATCAACAATAGACTCTAATTACCAATAGTAGCGAATAAAGTACTAAAGGAAGCGTTCTACACATCTTTCAATAATTATATCTTCTATAAATTCTAAAATAACCCCTTTATTTAAAGGGTCTTTGATAACCTAAAGGTCACGGAAGCCGTAAATTAGCGGTAGGTCCGTAGTAAAATCTATTTAAATATATTTATAGAACTAGTTAGAAGTATTTAGGGGATGGAAGTATCTGTATTTATATATTCTCTATTATTATAACGGCTATATATATCGTAATTCTTAAGGAAGTAATATATTTAAATTTAAAATAATAGCTAGTAAAAATCTCTTACAATAGCAGCAATGGTACCTTCTTATCCGGGGTAACCCACGACTTTAAAGTTATAGACCTACTAAATAAACTATATTTCTGATTTATTATAAGGGTTTTAAATTGAAATATTTACTTCTTTAATTATAAGCTATCTAGGGATCCAGAGTCTAGTTCTATATATAAGCATTCCTTAGGAGTTAATACTATATTCGGCTATTTATAATTAAAGGCCAATACTAATAGAGAACGACTAATCGCCTCTCTTCGCTATTAAATAAATATCTTAATAAATAATATTAGTAAGGATAATTTAATTCTAAATAATAATAATAATCTTATTCCCTGTACTATATAACTATAGTGCCTTTTTAGTATAGGGTCCTTCTCTAGTTCCCTAGAGGGGAAAACCGTACGGTATTAAGCGCCGCCGAATAAAAACCCCCAGCTACATTTCGGTCGTAGATTTTACGCCGCTCCTACTTTGCTTACAGCTATAACGGTTCTTACCTACCGCCACAGCGAACTGATTTCGTCTCTCCTACTATTGTATCATTCTAATATAAGAACAATAAGAATAATAGGAATAAGATCTAAATTTAGATCTAGAGCGCCGCTTCCCTTTACTATCCTTCTATCCTAATATCCACCGTTTTTTCCTCCGCCTTCTCCCTACTACCCTATCCTATTTTCCTATCCGTTACTCTACTTCCCCGCCTCTTTATTCCGTTTACAATTACCTCTACCCCAACTTTTTATTTCCTACCCTATAACTCTACCTCTATTTATAATAATATAAGGGCTTTTTCTTTCCTTTATATCATTTTCTTTATAATACCCCTTCCTAATTTTTATTTTCCTTTTTCCCTATCATAATTTTTATGTAAAATAACTTCCTTTAACCGTTATTACCCTAATTTAATTAATTTAACCTTTAATATAGAAGTTTCCTCCCTTAAACCGTCCTTTAACCCTATATTCCTAATATATTTAAAACCCGCGGCCCTTATCCGTTTCCTTTATAATTTTCTTAGCCTTATAGTCCTTTAGAATCGGTATAGTTTCTTCTCCGTCCTTTCAATCTATATATTAATCCGATTAGTATTGTTCGTAAAATTCCTTATTTATATTATATTTTGAATTTAGCTACCTACCTAAAGACCGACGATAAACCTACCTCTATTAATATTATTTATACGATTATTATTAGTAAAGTTTATTATATTTTAGCGTTTAGTAGGTTCTTTATCCTCCTATTCCTTTTTTTATTATTATTTAATTCCTATATTATAACTTTT